TAATTTCATTTATATAAATAAGTTTATAGATATTTTGATTATATATATTGAATACATACGTGTTTATATATATATATATATATATATGTGTGTGTGTGTGTTTTTTTTTGAATTATTGTTATGTAAATGACAAATAGAGTTATATGGGATAAACGGAAAAAAAAAAAAATTGGGTGTAACCAACGAAAATGAATAGTCTAATTAATTTAATGTTTTGATAATAATTACATCAATAAAAAAAAAAAAGCAAAGTTCGAGAAAAAGAAAATTAGGATTGCGATGCCTAAAAATATCACTTTATTGTTAATGTTTTTTCTTACAAAATTACAAATTTAAAAACTATAAAAACAAAAACAAAAACAAAAACAATCAAAATTCTCACAAAATTCTAAAGCCTCAATGGAGACTTTTCCTTAATCCAAGTTCCAATGTCTTTTTACATATATTGATAAACTCGTGTATACTTTTCTGCCATAGATTAGAGATGGAAAAGAAGAGGGGAGAGCGTACCAGTATTTTAAAGCTCGTACATAGAGATGGAGAACACATAAATGAAAAAAACCCAGAGATTGAGGGATTTAAAGATTGAAGTTGAAACGTACCAAGTGAAGGGGAAGAGTTTATTTTTAGTTAAATGTGAACATTAATTTGCAAAATTGATCGAATGTAGTGATGAGATTAGTTTGGAGGATTTCAACAGTTTTGACGATATTCACGTTACATCCCCATGCCAGCATCACAAATGGACCTGCCAAACGCAACCACATCTAAAAGGAAGTGGAAAAAAAAGGTGGAAGAAGAAAATGTAGCGACATCTAATATAACGACGGCCATAGGTGATGTAGCTAATGCTATCAGAGAAAATACTAAGATATTGAGTTTGTTTAGATTGTATATCATTGTACATTTATATTTGTATTTGTTAGATTTATGATTGTCGTTATTAGCTTTTTGTAAAAAATATTCGAAAGATCTCACCAACTTGGTACTTAAAGAAATTAAGAGATATATAATGAACTTGAGCTGATGGGTATGAGACCTGAAAAGATTTAACGTGCATATCTTTTTCTAGTGGAAAAGCCAGAAAAAGCATGTGCGATATCTGCTTTTCCTCTTCCGATGTCTCTTTTGGAAGACATGATGAGTGCAGATTATTAGGGTATCAATATATTCTACATTTTCGATTCGGATGTTGTGTTTAGCTTGTCATCCTCTTTTTATCGAATTTGGGAATTTAATGACACGTTATCTATACTATATTATAAAGCATTTGACAAAAACTTTTAAAAACAGTTTTTATGCATGAAGTATTGTATATTGATGCATATTACTTAAAATTCAAGATTAAAAGTAAATTATGCATAAATACAAACTTATTAAAGCTCCATGTTTGAATTTGTGTAACTAACTGCGGATAAACATAATTAAATAGAGGATAAACATCTCATTTTAAAATATAAAAAATCTAAAATATAATTAGGATAATTATCGAGTTCTAACAAAATAATTAATTATTATCTTTATAAAAAATTATATTATTAAATNAAATAGTTAATTTGATGTTAATATCGATATATTTTTGTCAAATTTTTATGATATCTTCAAATTTATATTTTATTCAAAAAAAAACATCATCGCTTTTTCAAAATCACATAAGACCATATTATAACATCGACTAAGATAAAAAATAAAATAAAATATTAAAATTAAAATATATCACGCTGCATTACACGAATACCCTTCTAGTTATATATAAATATATTTGATCGATTTGATTCATCATCTTTGTTGTGCATCATTAATATTTTTTATGCTGCATAGGTTAGTGACATCATATGAAATGTGATGAATTTAAATAATGTGTAATTTTTTTCAAAAGACATAGGTGACGTTTGTTTTTTAATAGGTATTGAAGCAGGGGCGGAACACACAGAACCTAATATTATATATTTTCAAAAATGCCAAAAATACACTGGGGACGATGTGTTAGTAAGGTTTGGGGTTATCCAATCAGACACACTTATCTTTTACTCATGGGTTGAAGATGGAACAAGGAAAAGGGAATAACAAGGGATCAAATGCAGAGACAGGATAGAAAACGACCCAAGTAAGACAAGCACCTGCCAAAAAACGGGCTAGTTGTCCGAGCACGTGAGAAAAGAAAAGGGAAAATACACTAAAGTCCCTTCAGACTATGATACACTGATGATCCCTTGTTCCTCCTTAGCCATCAGTTCTTAAGTCATCCCCTATAGCCCCACTACAACCCATCAAAGACCTGGATGATCTTCTAGAAAACTTGACAACTGTAAACTTGTATTTTGTTAGTATTCCTTGTATTACTACTAGATTCCTTTCTGAGATTTCATTTAGGCCTTGTATTTTGTTAGTATTCCTTGTATTACTCCTTGTATGCCATGT